AGCAGCGGTGGCACATCGAAACCTTGTTGTGTCCAGGCTTCAACATGCAACCTCCGGGTGTTCAGCTCGAAAAATTCTAACGCTCAACACCCCCAAAACATATGCATGCGCTGCTTCCTGCCGCGCCCGACAGAGCATGATGAGCATGATCAATGCCGCCCGAGAACTTTCCAGAAGCTCCTGCCGGTTGCTCTCGAAGTCGTTCTCGAAGACGACGGACCTGCTGCTCTTGGTGGCTTTTGTTTTCTGGGGCCTCAGACTGTAATAACGAGTGAGTTGATACGACATCCGCGTTTGGTCCGGAACAACCCGCAAACCAAGGGTTCAACTTGGATTGGGTCTTTCCCGAAACCATCTGTCGGCCTGCCGTCGAAACCAGCAGACAAGTACTCGTCCAAAGACACGTAGCGCTTTGATGGTCCAGCGTAGCCATATTGATTGAGCGTCTCGCAAGGCCGAACTCGGAACTCCAAGCGCCCAAACTGCTCTACCTCGTTGGGGTTTTCAGCGTCTGCAAGCTAAGTTTGTCAGCTGCTATGCCATGGTCAGCGCTACAACACGCCTACTCTATGACTCCGATGTGTCTTTTCACGCCGAGGCCACCAGGAGGTCTCGTGTCCAGGATCGCGCCGCCCAGCCATCGATCAGGCCACCCATCCGATGGGGGCGCATTTCGTCCAAGGACACGGTCGCCGTGCAGTCTTCCAGCACGAGGTTCTGCTCCTTGACAGCGAAGCCCCCGGGACTATGAACAGAACTCTCCATGCTGTTCCTTTCGAAAAACCCTAAACCCTAAACCTCCTGCTTCCTTGGGGAACTCCAGGTTAAGACTGTTGCACGGTGTAGTCTGTGTTGTCAGTGCTTGCAAAAGAATCTATTGTGCTTCGGATGCCTGGCCCTTTCACAGCACGGACATTCTGACTTACGGGGGCCACTACAAAAAACTTATAGGTTGATTAAGCTTAGCCTTAACAACGCTGCTACAAACTCTACGTACTCGTTGCCCTTCCTTCGTTTGGGTGGTTGCTCGATGCATGCCATGTATAAGGCAAGGGTTTTAGAGACAGTGCACCACGTCATGAGTGATTGGTATAGGATATGGATATATCCGGATTGAACCTATAGAGTTCTACAGCACGGCCCTGAAGGAGTTCTACAGCACGGCCCTGAAAGGATCTGCATAACTTTGTTAAGCTGAAGCTAAGGCTCTGTG